ATGAGAAGAGGAAAAAAATGGATACAAGGTCTTTGCAATAGGGAAGGGTGGAGGGGGTGAAGGGAGGGCAAGGGAAGGGGAAAAAAAAAAGAACCAAGAGACTCATGTAATGGTACAAGATCCCAATGATGAATGTAACTGTATTGTATACCTAAAATGTGCCAATAAAGTTAATGGGGAGAAAAAAAAAAAAGCAAAGTTCATAACTGAATATTTTAAGTTAATGGAAAACAAAATATTTAAAGAGGACACTCAATTGTGTTTCTGTGGGAATGATTCTTTGAGCACTCAGAATGAAATTACTACACAGCTATCCAAAAAGGCAAGTAATGAAACAATCTCTTATAGTCAAATACATAAAGACTATGAAAAAAATGCATATTAATCAGTTACTATTCGAAGTTAACAATCAAAGCCTTACTTATTAGTGTATATTTGCAATAATCTTCATATAAAATATCGTATACAATATATTCTCTGTATACTAACCCACACTCTGAACAAATTTATCATAGAATGTGTCTTGTAAAGTAATTTTCTATAAGTTATTTAGCTTAAAATCAATTTCTAAATGCCAATGTTATAACTAATTTAATGCTGTACTTGAGTTCTAAAAAATTACTCAAAAAGGAGGGGTTAATTCAACTGTTCCAAACTAGAATAACTTTTGCTAACATTTTCACGTTTATTTATATCTTCTCTAGATAGTTTTGAGGTGCCAAATAATCTGAATGTACTCTGAGTAATCACGGCTTATGATGTGACAAAGAAGTTTTTGTTTTTATTAAAAGATAATGAAGAGGCCTGGAAATGTAACTCAGTGGCATAGTGCTTGCCTCGCAAGCATGAGGCCATGGGTTCAATCCCCAGCACCTCAAAAAAAAGATAATGAAGGTCACTAATTACAGATATCAAGAGAAAATGAAAAATAAAGCTGGTCAACAAATGGTATGAGGAAAGTTATCATGTAAAAAATAAGTAATAATACAAAATATCCAGCAAAGGCTAGAATTGGAGTATGTAAAGAAAAAAAACATTTGAAGTATAACAAATATTTTTGAGAGATGACTATATTTCAAGCTCTGGACTAAGAACTTTACAATCTTGATCACATTTTCTTTTTCTGAAATTAGTACATACTGCAAGACATGGTAGTGCACACCTCTAATTCCAGCACTCTGGAGGCTGAGGAAGAGGATCACTGCAAATTCAAGGCCACCCTGAACGACATAGTGAGGCCCCGTCTCAAAAAACCAAAAGCAGGGCTACTGTGTCTTCTCCCAGCAGCTGCCCTCTCCTGAACAATATACTTATTTACCTACTTTTATGTGGCCCAAATTCATTCTGCAGAACCTGTTTATTTTCCTATCTTTAACAAATATAAACCTTTGTTACCATTTTAAAAAAACAAAAAAAATAGTGCATACTCCTTTTATTTTCATACCCTATTATGTAAAAATTGTCATTTAAAAAATGTATAAACTAGAGCTTGGAGTGGTTAAGTATTAGAACTGGAATTCTAGACTCAGGTTAGCTTGACTGACATTTTATTGTCCATAAACATGTTGAAATTTAGTGATGTACTTGAAGTAAAAATTTCTCCAAAATTTAAGGAAGTGCCAAAAAATTTTAGTTTTAAGAATGTGAATTTACTTTGAAATTTATTTGTTAAAATTCCAGAGTTGGATTTTTTTGGTTATTATTCTGTTTTGAGACAGGCTTTCACAATGTAAAGACCAGCCTTGAAGTCGCTCTGTAGCCAAGGCCTGGCTCCAAGTTGAAATCCTCCTGGAGGTTGAAATTACAGGCACAGACCACTTCACCTGCCTACAAAAATATTCACTAACCATTCTCTCCAAAAACACAAGCATTGTCTATCTGTGTGACTTCAGTGTTTCCACTGTATAACAACAGTCTGTGGTTTCACAATGATGGAAAAAACTCCATGGACATCCGAGAATTGGGGACTGGTTAAAGTATGTGCCTGGAGTCAATATAATATTTTAACTATATAATGGAAAATTTATTCAATCAGTAAAAGCTAAAGCAGTCCAAATTATACAAGTAAATCACAAAATAGTGTTTCTAGTATAAGCCCAGTTTTGTTTTACAAAATAAGTGTTTATGTGTACGGTGATAGGGTCTTGATGATTGGTTTAATTGTAGTTTATGCTTCTGTGCTGATTTTATTTTCAAAAATTTATTTAGAAGGGCTGGGGATTTAGCTCAGTGGTGCTGCCGCCTGCCTCGCAGGCGCAAGGTCCCAAGTTTGATCCCCAGTACACCCCCCCAAATTTATCTAGAATAATAAACTATGTCAGGTCAGTTTGTAAATACTACCATCTTAAATTAACAACAACAAAAAATAGGAGTGGGAGGCAAAGAACAAATAGATCAACTTGTGTCCAGGTTTGAGTCGCAACCTGGAATTAAAAGTCAAATGATATCTGACCATGTCAAACGGGCAAATTACAGACATCAAAGCTTATAAGATTCCATACTTTTTGTAATTACTGGGAGATAATTCTCCATAGTCTCTGCATATCTTACAAGCAATGTTATCACTGTCCATTGGTCTGGACCCTCTCAAGGAGGTCGCTACAGTGAACAGTCTTAAAGGCAAGTTTGTTGTCCACTCTAGTTTGAGTCCGTCCGTGCCCCCTCACCCCGGCTCAGAGTTACTGTCCTGTAGGGCAACACACTCCATATCCACATGGCACCTGGCTGGCTTTGCATCATCCTATGGGAACTAGTGCCTGGGGAAACTGAGACAAAAGTCACTGCTCTTCTGGCTACTGCTGTAATTCATCTCTGACCCCTCTTGCGTCTTGTACAGAAATGTGGGAGGCTATTTAACGTTAGACTGTAAAATACGGTAAAACGTCTCTCTTCCTAGTTCTCGACAGGTTTTAAATTATGCTTCCAAAAAGCCATGTGTTTAAGGTGCAGAGTTCTAGCTATAGATATTTTATTGACGCTTCCACACTTACCAGCATTATTACTGTGGAACATCCAAAAGAAACCCTGAAGAAAAATAGCACAATTATGTATTAGAACACTCAACAGATTTTTGTGTCATTAAAGATTTGACAGGTCCCCAAAACACATTCAACTCACTACACTTAATTTATTTAATGTTTAAAATATCTTAAAGGTCCTGACATTGTTTTGGGGACAACATCCAAGTTTTAACATTCTCATTTACAAAAAAAATTAGATCATCGAGCCCTGAGAGTGCCTCAGAAACTAAGAATTTAAAAAACAACTCGCCCATTAATCCCTGCGTTTCTATAGCTAAGAGAGAGGGCTCTGCCCTTCACACTCCAACCGCCAGGAGGTTTATGGGCCGCACACACCAAGCCTAGGCCTCGCACTCACACACCTGCCGGGTCCACAGCCCAAAGGTAGGCGTCGGGGCCTAATTGGGGGTCGACCACCCACCAGGAGGCGCGCTCCAGGCGGGGATGGGAGCAGCAGGCCAGGTTTGGCCCGACGACCCCTCACTGACGCAGGCCTAGCGTTAGCAGTCTGCAGCGCCACTAGTGCCAGCTTCGCTCAGCTCGCACCGATAGTCCTCGGTCCAAGTCAAGGCGCCTGCCAACAAGCAACACCCCACCTTCCACCCGGCTTCGCTTCCGGCGCAGGCGCAGTCTCCGTTCTCCAGTCCCACTGCCGACTGGAATGGGTTCCCGGTTCCTCGGCGACAGCTGCGTCACTTCCGGCGGCCGTTGCTAAGCAACCAAAAGGCCTGGGAAACGCTGCGGGCTGGATTCCGTTCTGCACTAGTCTATCCAGGTCTTGGCTCGCTGTGGGCAAGTAGCAGAGATGCTAGTGCGGTTTGGACGGCGCTCTGGACAGGCGAGAAAAATCAAGGGTGCGTTTAAGTGGCCCATTCCGGCTCGAGGGTTGTTTCTGGCACCCAGGTGGTGAGGGTGCCAAGTGAAGGCTTCGGTTACTCTCTGAAATGAGCTCCACCAAGTCGAAAGCATCCCCAATTAGCGTTGTTGGACTCTGGAAATTCATTTCTTTAACCGCCTGTGCATGAGTGGAAGAGGGAAAGGGGACCTGTGGGTGGGTAGAAGAAAGTTTAGAGAAATGGGGATGGAGAAATCATAAAACGTTTGAGACCCACAACAGACTGGCTGGTCGGGTGCTCAGCCAGTTGCAGCCTCCGAGGTCTGGTGCTTGAGGAACCCTCAGGCTCTTAAGCTTTATTATTTATTGAGTGAATTAGACTATGTATAGGAAATATCAGTCTACCTCCATAGACTCTTAGCTCTGCTCCAAACATGCTGAATGTCTCGGAAGGAAATGCCTCAGTTTCCTCCACTCTAAAGTGAAGGCTAGGGAAGGTCTCTCCTTCAGTTAGATGCTTTGATAGATTGCAAATACTAATACTATTAACATAGTGTAATTCAGAGAATGTTATAAAATTTTAATTTTGTAATAAAAATAGATAAGTGGGACTGCTAAAGAAGGTGTTTGGTTTTTTTTTGTGCCGGGGACCAAACTCGGGACCTTGCGCTTGCACAGCAGGCGCCGGAACCACTGAGCTAAATCCCCGGCTAAAGGACTTTTTATTAATTTCAACCACAATAGTTTTTGTTTTGTTTTGTTTTGAGACAGGGTCTTGCTATGTAGTTTAAGTTGGCCTTGAACTCACTATGTAGCCCAGGCTGGCCTCTAACACTCATGGCAATCCTCCTGCCTCAGCCTCCCAACTGCTGGGACTACAGGCATGTGCCATCACGCTCGGCTACAATAGTTTCTTAAGTCTAAATTCCCAAGTACATTGTTGTCATGGTAACAACTAGAATCTTGGGAATTTGAACTATTTTCAAGTCATAGCTGGAGCTTCTGTTAGCAATACCCCCACCCCTGGTGCCAGGAACACAGGACCCTACTTGGTACGGTTTTTGTGTAGTGGAGACCTTATGAAGTAGCAGCCAGAATGGTAGAATAAGGATCTTTGAAAGTCCTCTTCTCCAAAAATCAAGAAGCAACGTGGCAAAAAGTGTCAAAATCAACTTTTTAAGAACTCTGGAAATTAACCAAAGGCTTGCAACAATCCTGCAAATGTGTATTTTTAAAAAAAGTTTAATCTTGATAACAGCAGCAAGATTTTTGGCATTTTTGTTGTTGTTAAATTCTTTTATTGATACATCTTAGGTATGCAACACAATTACATTTCTCACTGGGAACTTGTACCTTTACATAATGCATCTTGGTTCTTATTTTTTCCCCATTCCTAGCCCTCCCTTC